GAAACCAACACAGCATTATAATTATCCTCCAATTAAAAAAAAAAAGATATTGATACTGTGCTAAAGCAGCTAGGCATGAACAGGCTTGAGGCCAGATTTTAATTTTCCCTCTGTCTGTCCTTTTCTCTGAGAAGTGTCCTTACTAGTTGAACTCCAGTGATCCATACAAGGACTGGACAAACACCAGGTTCTGCCTGACCTGCTTTTCACAAGACCTGTTTTCTTGGGCCTGCGCAGTTATTTTGTTTTGTTTTGTTTTGTTTAATTTCAAGGTCTTTTAAAAGGGTACGAACTTCCCAGGTCACCACTAATCCCTAAATACATCCTGAACCATGCAGGCCACTTTGCGCATTCTGTGTCACTAACACCCCAGTGGGCTTTTGACCTTTCTCTGTCTGGTAAGCAGAAAATTCTTAGTTAACAGAAGAGTCAGCTTCTGACGCTGAAGTCTCAGGGGCCTTGGATAATGAAAGAAGGTGGATCAAAGAAGAAATTTAATAGCTTAGTCTATGAGATATTTAAAAAATCCGGCTAAGCCATTCTCATTCCTCTTGGTTCTGCATTTTCTGTTGTGTGCCTGGACTTGGGGGAGCTCTCCAGAGATTCCTTACAGGGTGGTCAACTGCTGGATCATAAAACCCTTGAGGTTCTGCTTTGTTTATGTCAACATAGATTGTGTCTTTCTCAGCTTGTTACCATCAGAACAATATGTAAGGAGGGCTGCTGTGGCCTCTGGGAAGAGAAGGCAGCCATTCTTTCAATGGATGCAATTCATTTTAGCCCATAAGTTCCACATGCTCAGGGGATTCATTGATCTTCCTTCTTCTCCTCCTTACATTTTTCCTTCCTTCTTCTTCAAAACCCAAATCCAAATGACGTATAAGTGGAGCAGATCTTGGCTGGGGAAGTGTAGGGAACATCGGCATCTTCATGTTTTTCACCGCAAACTCCACATTTAGATCATGTTTTTCACCGCAAACTCCACATTTAGATCTGAATTTGCTAAAACATACAAGGTTATTCTAGTCCCTATGCTATGTGTGAGTGCTCAGTCATGCCAAACTCTTTATGACCGCATGAACTGTAGCCTACCAGGCTCCTCTGTCCATTGGATTTCCCAGGCAAGACTACTGGAGTCGGTAGCCATTTCCTTCTCCCAGGGATCTTTCCAACCCAGGGATTGAACCTGAGTCTCGCATCTCCTGCATTGGCAGGTGGATTCTTTACCACTGAGCCACCTGAGAAGCCCATATTCTAGTCCCTGGAGGTATACTTAAAGTCACCAAATAAGCATAGAGCATTTTTTCTTGAAAGGAATCAAATTTGCTCAATAATCAGTCATTTAAAACTATACTAAAACCAGCAAGTGTGCAATGAAGCAGAAAGCAAAATTTACTTTTTAAAAAGACCAAACACAGGATTATAAAGACATTTCATTCTTGGTGTAGGCTTCTTCCAAATGTTCCCCTAGATCCCATGGGAGTGTTTTAGATTTCCTTTGCTATTAGGAGTATCCGGGTGAAAGTTTGAGAAGCAGTGTGAGATTCTGGTAAATTCTTTTCTAAAACACAGTCTGCCTTTGTATCTGAGAGGAGTAGTTCTTTATTTCTGGGGTTCGCGGAATGAGAAATTATGTAGCCCTTGGCTGGACACTTTAAGTCTGTTCCTGGGCTTGCCAAAAAGTCCTGGGTTGAGTCACTGGACTAGACTTCGTATTCCCATTCTGAGACCACCGGGATTGTAAAACTTGCTGCTGAGTCTATTTCTTGTAAATAGCCCCATGTAGTCACAAAGAAATAGTTACGTTCTGTTATTGTTGGTTTGGGGGCCACCCCCCTACACACACAGTTATCCTGCTTATGTAGACTCATCAAGCATTGGCATTCTTTCTGTTTCTGCATTTGTTGGAAAGTAAATAGGCAGCAATAAAGCAATTTTATTATGCATATTTTCTGCCTTGGGTGGCACCTGGAATTTGCTGACTTTGCTGAGCGCAACTTAAATTTTAAAAGGCTCCTGTGCCTCACCTTATTCATGCCATGCAAGTCAGATGGAAAACCAAATAATTAGAATAAGCAAGCTGCGTGGGTCCTTTCTCTTGCTCTCAACTGACTCCAGACCCTGCTGTGGAATTCCAGCAGCTCTTTCCCCCCACCTTCTAGCTGCTAATCTTCCATGACCAGATCTAAACAACCACCTTGCCTCCTCTCCCCATCTTAAATAATCAACAACTGAGCATAATACCTAGGACACTGTGGTACAGAAAATGTTGAGAGCAGAGCACAAAACCACCCCTCGCCATTGATTTTCCAGAATATCTCATTCACTTTAGGTCAGTCTTCTTTGATTTTGAAAAGTGACTTTAAAACATTGAAGCTGATTTTCACAAGCATTATATAGACTCTGACTAATGCCAACCGGAAACACTTTGTCCAAACTGCTTCTCACTAACTTGAACCGAAAGGGGACGAGGTGAAGCAGAATTGAAGAACAGAGGTAATCTCTAGACATATTGCTCTTTCTTTCAGGGACTCAATGCGGAAAGGGACCCTGTCTGAGATCCCACAAACTCCTGTTAACCTTTCTAGGCAAGATGCTAAATAGTTGTTTGACTTAGGGCAGAAACTCAGTATCATAACTTCCCAGTGATCCTGCATTTTGGTAATGACCTCAACTTTTGGAGAAAGCAGTATGGTGTGGTGAACGAAGCCTTAGCATCAGACTCAGACCAGCCAAGGTTTAAATCCCACAGCCATCATTGCACCACTGGATATGTGACAAGTCCTCCCGGGCCTCTTTTTTTTTTTTCCTCTGCAAAATGAGAAATGATTTCAAGGATTTAATAAGACAACAGATGAGATGAGGAAGCCCAGTGCTAGGCACACACTCAATGTAAGCTTCCCTGCTTTTTAAAACCAGATCGCTGACTATGAACATAAAATAACTCCCCACCAAGAGCTGACTTTGGCCAAGGGTGCTGTTTTCTGTGAAGGGAACTCTTGGTGGCCCTTGGTTGTGACCGCTGATCCCACACATCTGGAAACTATGACAACTGTTTTGCTTTGAGCTCAGCTTGGCCCAAATGTAGCTCTATATAAAGCAGCTTCTATCCCTCAGTTTTTTTCCAACACATCATAGCTTGGCTTGAATTTGGGCAGAAGAGTGGGTGTCAAAAGAAATGCGCAAAGTCTGGGAGGAATTCACATTCAACTAAGAGTCACCCAGCCTGGGATGGCCCCTGGAGTAGCTCCCTATAGTAACTGTCCATGGAGTAGTTCACTCAACACTCACAGGCGCCTAGTAGGAAGCTCTATAATTATGCCTATTTTGCGGATGTCTCAGCTGAGGCTGGGAGGTTAAGTGGCTTTCTCAAGGTCACAGAAATAATAAGGTTTGGGATAAGATCCCAGGCTTTTAGACCTGGTAAAGAAAGTAGGAGGATTTGCAGGGTTGGAAGATGAGCAGTGGCAGTGTCTAGCCCTGCCAGAGTCTATTTTGAGTTGACACCACCTGTGACAACATCTGCTGGAGGTGGAGTTATTGGGAGGAACATCCCAGGTATTTTGCCTTGACCTTTAGAAACCCTGTACCCAGGCCCTCTGTCCATTATGTCACATATCGCTGGGGCAGGTAGTGAGATCTGGCTAGTTAAACATGTCATGTAAAACAATATCTGATCAGTAATTTAAAAAACAATTTGTAAAACTCTGTTAGCATAATTTAATCTTTGCAGGTTTTTGTTTCATTTTAACAATTCAGAAGTATTTAAAAAAAAAAAAAAGAAATACTTTAAGCCCAACATTAATGTCATTTATTTAACTCAGCAAATATTTATTACTCTACTTAATATATGTCAAGCACTGTTCTAGAAGCTGGAAATACAAAAACTCTTCAATTAAAACTCTTGAAAGTGCCCTTTCTTATCACTGGTCAAACAGTGATAAACAGAGGGATTTTTTAAAAAAAAGAATGCTAAAATTGTCAGTTTTCTGTTTTTTTAACCATTTAAAGAAATTCAGAGCAATTCTTTTTTTTAACCACCAAAAGCAGTGATAGTTTATTTGAATTGTTTCTAATTATTTAGAAAGAAACACTCATTTTTTAATTTATGTGAAGGAGAAACCCTGAAGATGTCCAGACTTGGATCAGACAAAAATAACTGAGTCCTAGGCCTACAAAACAGTTTTAAACACAGTTCCCTTATGAGCTTACTTGATGAATTTGCTCTTTCTTTTCACCTGCAAAGCATCCATTTCCCTCTCACCCTTTGTTCTCAGGAGGCAATTTTGAGGCCCAACACACTCTGCCCGACCTCCTCCTGTGTCCAATACCAGAGCAGAGTGTGGGTTTCAGCACAGCCTGGACTGGATGACAAACAGTGAGAGTAATATGCTGCCAGAGTTTCTTTAAAAAAAAACAAAAAAACCCAGAATACCAGAAAGCAGGCTTGCTGCTCCCCTCTCTCCAAATCAAAGCCTCTTGAATAGAATAATGACTGTTATTCAAACGCAATTATACCGAGCACTTAGAATTGAAACACTAAAAGTAAGTCTTCTATTCGGATATTGCATTTCATATTTCAGCATATACCAAATAAGCTGGTGATGTTTTTATTATTGTTGAGTGTAATGTCAGGAGACAAAGTCCTACAAGTTTTCTACATAACTTTTTCCATGTTATCTGTTTTCCATTTACATCGAGTTGAACACGTGGTGTGACTTTTAATATTCTCTCTTTCTTCCCGCACATTTTATGCCAGGGAATCAAACTCAATCCTGAGTACCCTAAATGTACCCTCAGACCAAGCGGGTGGTTTTTTGTTTTTGGCGTTTTTTTAGTTTGTATGGAAACGGAGAGAGGAAAAACCTTCAAATAAACCTATAAACCTGGTCCTATGAATGCTGACAAATGGCCTGGAAAGAGCAAGTGCCAGCACGTGGAGGAGACCACGTGGTTACAGGCCGTTCTTCCCCGCTCAGGTCTCAGCTCGAGGAAAGTGGGTAATAACCGGGGGGAACTGTGACTGTAACGTTAGGCAGGTCTGGCAGATGGGGCGGGCTTAGCGAGCAGGGTCTCCCGGGCACCACAAGGGACGCAGTTGGGAAGGCTTGAGCCGAGGCCCCGAGCCCGCGTTCCTGGCGGGGGCGCCCGAGCGCCAGCGCGGTGAACACAAGCGTTAAGGAACAACCGCCGCCGTCGCCGCAGGATGGCCTCCGGCTTCAAGAAGCCCACCGTGAGCTCCATCAGCCAGAAAAGAAAGGTGGGGCCTAAGCCCGAACTCACTGAAGAGCAAAAGCAAGAAGTTCGCGAAGCGTTCGACCTCTTCGATGCCGACGGCAGCGGCACCATCGACGTGAAGGAGCTCAGGGTGGCCATGAGGGCACTGGGCTTTGAACCCAGGAAGGAGGAGATGAAGAGGATGATCGCCGACGTGGACAAAGAAGGCACGGGGAAGATCAGCTTCAACGACTTCTTGGCCGTGATGACTCAGAAGATGGCTGAGAAAGACACCAAGGAAGAAATCCTGAAGGCGTTCAGGCTCTTTGATGATGACGAGACCGGGAAGATCTCTTTCAAAAACCTAAAGCGTGTGGCCAAAGAGTTGGGAGAAAACCTCACGGATGAAGAGCTCCAGGAAATGATTGACGAAGCCGACCGAGATGGAGATGGCGAAGTGAACGAGGATGAGTTTCTTCGCATCATGAAAAAGACCAGCCTCTATTGAGTTCGTTTATCCCGCAAGCATGTGTAGGGAAATTGAGTAATTGGCTGGCTTCCCTGCTTCTCGATTTGTGAAACCTGGAGTTAGAGGCCAGAGCCATCTCTCCTCTTACCCCCAGTTTGTCTAGATAGTTATATTTCCAAATCTCTAGCTCAATTATAGAATTTTCAAATGCTTTTAACGTTGAGTTTTGGTTTTCATTCCCAAGAGCGGACCTGGGTTGAATCAAGGGTCCTGAAAACTTCTCTCCAGACAGCATTTGCCTTGCGTTGGTGGACACCCTCTAAACTGAAGGCGAGGTGGCTTCTTGAGACAGTTAGCATTGTGGTTCCCTTGTTGTTTCTTTGGTATTCTTAAATTATCTTGCTTCCTGTATTATTGCTTACATTCAAGTCCTTCTCCCAGGGTGAGGTGAAGTCACTAACAGGCCATCCAGCCATTGATTATCACTTAACTGAATTCCTGGTTTGAAGGAAAACAGTGCAGCCACTTATGGGCTCAGAAAAGGTATTGTTCTAAAGGATACACTTGTTTTTGGCTGGTGGTAAATGGTGCAGCTTAGATTATCCTCTGGCTTCATCACAGGCAAATGACTCTTGATATGCATGTACCTTAACTACTGTGGATTATCCCAGGCCACGATGTATTCTTGGGCTACAGAATAAAAAGAAAATTAACTATTGGCCCAAGCAAAGTATGATTGCTTAAGAGATTAAGCTAACTAATGACTTTGTGTAAATATTTAACAAATGTAAGATCTGAGCTTAGGAAGTAGTAAAAAACAAAAAACAAAAAACTATAATACAGGTTGAACTACTTATCTGTCTTTGAAAACTAGAGTTTCAGTTATTAGACCAACTATACTGTAACCTTAGTAATTTCATTACCGCTTTATTGGAAGCCACTGTCTACCTTCTAATTCTTAGAACATCTTGTTTCTTGATACTTAATCTCTCCTCCTGTGGTATATAGTTGATTCTCTACAGTCTAGCATATAAGTATTTCTCTATGTTATAATCCCAAGAAACTATTCATTGTGGCTTGTGTTTGCGTTAATACTGCTTGTCCTCTGTTATAAATTAAACCCTTCTTGTTTTGAAATAAGATAACTACCCTTTTGAACATCTGCAAATATGAAGTTAGAGAGAAGTTAAATAATATAACCGTGGGAAAATACTATAATCCGCTGAGATGGAGGACAAATGTTTTCATAATAGGCAATGAAACTACCAAAACAAGTAGGATATTTTGGTGACAACTTAACCTAAATTAAACCTTCATACACAGTCCCATTAAAATAAATGCTGAAATTCTGGAAAATTTTTTACTTGCTTTGCCAGCAATTTTACCCTTCAGAGGGCTGTTAATGTAATCAGGAAAACTACTACTCTGGGTTTAATTCTCATTAACAGGGACTAATTTGTCAGAGCAGCAGGACTGGCTGAAGTGATGGGTATGTGGGCATTTACTGTGAGAAAGGATTTTGCTGAGGTAGCTGGCACAGGGCAGGGGAACTCACCCAGACTGCAGATGCTAACAGTTCAGGTTCAAGGTCTTAGTGTGGATTCAGGTGCAGTTGGAGGGGATTCAGGTTCAGCTTGGGTCAAGCATCAGTGGGAGGGGCCTGGTCTGAGGGTAACGGGAGGAGTGTGGCATTCTGGAAAATAAGAGTTCCTGGCATCCCGCTTACCAGAGTCTTGGCCCAGAGAAGTACATATGGATCAAGGTAGAAAAAGCAGAAACAAAGTTGGCAGAAACTAGGAGAAAGGGTCAGAGTTTCAGCCAGCTGGACTGGGTTCAGTCTTGGCTCCCGGCCCAGCAGAAGATAGAAGTGAAAACCGGGAACTGGGGCTGAAGCCCAGTAATCAGGCTGTTCGAACACCGTGGGGTCAACTGTGGAGGCTGTAGCCTAGGACTTCAAGGGTTGGCCTGAGGACCCGGTCCATCCCACACACAGGAAGTAACAGTAGTAGTCGTAGTCTCTGTGTCGTGTCCAACTCTTTGCAACCCCATCGACTGTAGGCCGCCAGGCTCCTCTGTCCATGGAATTCTCCAGGCAAGAATACTGGAGTGGGTAGCCACTCCCATCCTTGCATTCCATCTCCAGGGGATCCTTCCAACCCAGGAATCGAACCCAGGTCTCCTGAATTGCAGGCAGATTCTTTACCATCTGAGCCATGAAGGAAGCACACACCGGAAGGGGGCTCCTTATTTCTGAATATTTCTGAGCCCCATTCACTGCTAAGGAAGAACCTCTCAATGGATGATCAGTCTTGCTTCTCAATAGGCTCATATTCTGGGGGATGGAGGGTAAAGTGGAGATAGGGAGACAACTACATTGACATTTGAATTTTTTAAATATGTACTTATTTTGGCTGCACTGGGTCTTGGTTGCAGCATGTGAGATCTAGTTCCCCAACCAGGGATGGAGCCCAGGCCTCCTGCATTGGGAGTGTGGAGTCTTACCCACGGGATCACCAAAGAAATCCCAATATTTGAATTTTAAGAGAAGTAAATCATACATGTCTGGCTGGGTCAGACATATCCCAGTCTTTATACAAACAGAACCCAATTCAACGAAAATTTATAAACACCTTTTTGCAGATGAGTAAACACACCTATAAATGTTGGGAAGAACTAAGAAAGTAGTTTTCACTGGGTTATTACAAATGATCCCAGGAAGGAAGCAGGAAGTATACCAAAGAAACTGTGTAGGGGGACTTCCTTGGTGGTAAAAGTACCCTTATCCTTTATAATAGATAATTTTACGTATCAACTGGCTTAGGTCACAGGGTGCCCTGATATTTTTTTAAACCCTATGGGTGGGACTGCCCTGTGGTCCAGTGGCTAAGACTGTGACCCCAGTGCAGGGGGCAGGGGTTCAATCCCTGGTCAGGGAGTTAGATCCCACATGCCCCATCTAAAGATCCCATGAGCTGGAACTAAGACTTTGGCTACACACCAAATAACATTTTTTTTAAAAAAGAAATTATGTAGGGAGCCCACTGATAAGCCATTGCTTTCAAAAGTTAAATGTAACAGGTGAAAAGCAGACCATTTGGGCCAAGGATGAAAATATGAGAGTATCAAGTTTGTATTGCTGTCATGAAAGCTAATGCCCTAGATGGGCAGAGGACAGTAAAGGGATTTTTTTTCTCCTAAAGGCATCCTAGTTGTGTTTAAGATGAGAAGATTGAGGATGGGATTAGTCCAATTCTTTAAATTGTTGCAGGTTGGTTTCCACAGGAAACCGACTCTGAGGTTTGTGTGTGCTTAGATGCCCACTCATGTCCGACTCTTTGCTACCCAATGGACTGTCGTCTGCCAGGCTCCTCTGTCCATGGGATTCTCCGGCAAGAATACTGGAGTGGGCTGCCATGTCCTCCTCCAGGGGATCTTCCTGACCCAGGAATTGAACCCACATCTCCCATACAGCAGGCGGATTCTTTATCACCTGAGCCACCAGGGAAGAGTTTATTTTAGTGTGTTCTCTGGATCACTTGGGTGAGGGGAAAAGAAACTAAGACCCAGCAGAGAGAGAAGTTGACCTATGATGTGGTTATAACAAAGGTCTCAACTGATCTCCCGAGGAACTCTGGAGCAAAGATGACCCTGCAGATGATCCAAATTGCGACAAGGAAGTTGAGCCTTGAAAACTTGTCATTGATTAACCATCACTGGACCTGAGATGTCCCTGCTGCTGCTGCTAAGTCACTTCAGTCGTGTCCGACTCTTTGCGACCCCATAGACATCAGCCCACCAGGCTTCCCCGTCCCTGGGATTCTCCAGGCAAGAACAGTGGAGTGGGTTGCCATTTCCTTCTCCAATGCGTAAAAGTGAAGTCGCTCAGTCCTGTCTGACTCTTTGCGACCCCATGGACTGCAGCCCACCAGGCTCCTCGGTCCATGGGATTTTCCAGGCAAGAGTACTGGAGCGGGGTGCCATTGCCTTCTCCGTGAGCTGTCCCTAGGAGAGGGGGTATGACTTTGAGCAAGGTGGCTGTCCCCAGCCAGTGGCAATCAGTCCCTGGGAAAGAGAAGTCAGTTGCAAACTCTTAGCTGTCAAGATTTCCAGCTCCTTGTGGATGACTTCAGTTCTGAGGGGTAGGCCTGCGGGAGGTGTGGGCAGGGCCTCATGCCTCCCACCACTTAGATCTCTCTTCCTGAGGGAAACTTACAAAGGAAATCTGGAAGGACGAACTACACATGAGCCTCTATCACAGAGGCTGCTCTCGAGTCCACAAGCAGTGGTCATCACTCTCCCTGATGACCCAGCCTCGACTCCCCTCACCCTCAGCACCTCTGTGACCTGGTGAGTTGCCTAATGGGAAGAGCCAGTTCCTCATCCCTGAGGAGTCTGAGCCCCCAGTCTCAGGCTCTGGCTGCTGCATACATCTCCCTGCCCTCAAAATTGAGCCCAGGAGCCCCAAAAGACATTCAAGCATGTCACCTGGGTGCCAAGCATACTGTCCCCCTGTTCTGCCCACAGCTCTGCACCCTCCTGATGACCAGGAGTAGTTACTCATGGTGGTGACACCTCCCCTAGGCCACTGCCCTCTCGGCATGACAAATCATTTCTCTTCTCTCTTGGAGAGCTTCTTTCCTACAAAGCCGGCCTATTGCTGGTAGGTCTACTAACTTCAGTTTTTGCCTATCTGAGAAAAATCTTTATTTTTCCTCCACTTCTGAAGGATTGAGAGCTCCCCTGATGGCTCAGTTGGTAAAGAATCTGCCTGCGATGCAGGAGACCCAGGTTCCATCCCTGGGTCGGGAAGATCCCCTGGAGAAGGGAATGGCAACCCACTCCAGTATTCTTGCCTGGAGAATTCCATGAACAGAGGAGCCTGGTGGGCTACAGTCCATGGGGTCTCAAGAGTTGGATACGACTTAGCAACTAACAGTTTCACTTTCTGAAGGATTACTTTACCAAAATCACCATTCCAAGTTAGTGGTGGTTTTTGGTTGGTTGGTTTGTTTTAACTTTCAGCACTTTAAATATTTCATTCTACTTTCTTCTTGCTTTCACGGTTTCTAAAGAGAAGTCTGTGTAGTTCTTATCCATGTTTTCCTACAAGTAAAGTCTTTTGCCTACCCAGCTCTGGCCTGTTTGGGGAATTTGTTGGTGATTTTCTGCAGTTTTTTATTTTTAATTTGATAATGAAAGACTTTAATTGTGATGTCATTGGCACATGCCATTTCTTTACAGATTCATAACTTAAGTTTACTAGATAGTAAGAAATACTTGGACATTTTTAAACTAAATAGCAAGCATTTAAAATACCATGGTGTTCAGCTGATATGTATATCTGAAAGTATAAAGGAGATTCATAAAAGTGAAAACATGTTTCAAAAATAGAGTCTGCAAATACATTCCATTTTATCACTTATAGTAACATAGTATGGTACTTCATTCATTCACTTGTGTATTTATTCATTTAAGTATATTGACCTACAATACAACTTTTTAAAAAATTATTTATTTTTGGCTGTGCTGGGTCTTCGTCGCTGTGTGGTCTTTTCTCTAGTTGTGTGGAGTGGGGGCTACTCCCTAGTTGTGATGTGTGGGCTTCTCATTGCAGTGCCTTCTCTTGTTGGGGGGCATAGGCTCTAGGGCACACAGGCTTCAGTAGCTGTGCCTCTCAGGTTCTACAGGCTCAGTAGTTGTGGCGCAGGGACTTCGTTGCT